GCCTTGTGTTAATGAAATCTGGAAGCAAACAGACATATCAGGTTCAAAATGTATAAAATTGCTAAACGGTCATCGTTGATTCCATATTTATCCAATACTATTAATTATTTGAGAGAAAAAGGCATCAATAGAATGTCACATCCGCCGTATTCGCCGGACCTAGTACTACATAATTTTTGGTTAAATAATTCTATCGGCCGAAGTTGAACTGATTAAATAAATGAACATGTGCTCATGCAGTTTCCAAGGTATCTAAGTTTTTTTCGAAAAAGAGCTCAAAAAAATGTTAATAAATTATTAGAGAGGATTCAACTTGCTATAAATAACCATAGCAACTATCGTGATATAAATATCTCCTTATCTTTATACTTTTATTTAATGATGACACAACTTTTTTTCAGCTCTAAATACCTCATTAGAAGCGTACGCATCCTAATCCGGCGGTTGTTATCAGTTTCTTTTATGCTCGTCCCCGATAAAAAATCCGCCAATACATAATATAGAATAATTCCTAGCGTTTATATCGTTTTGAACTCTTATAGCCATCATTTCGTTAAATAAAATCATCTCGACTAAACGAGATCAAAATTGTTGCACCTTTGTATCGAACCGAAGAAACATTTATCTCGGCCACAATGGAAAGAATATGAACTTCATCATTGTATTGATTTTGTATTAAAGAATTCCATCGAAATCTGATCGTCGTGGTTTATTAAAACAGCATTTAAAGATTGACTTTATCAATAAGGGAAGTTTTCTCTTCATCAAATACATTCGCTATTATTGAGACGAAAATTATTGTTTTGTTCTATTTCAAAGGCAAATATTGCTGCAGATGGAGTTCTATTTTACTACATCATTCAATAGCACAGTAACTTTAACAATTTCAACTTCTGATAAACATTAGCAAACGTCGAATAAGAAATTCAGAATTCTATGCAACATCCTATGAAATAACTATTCTCAGAGTAACTATACCAACTAAGTCATCTTGAGAATACTTTGCAATCAGTCATTGAAAACAGTAACAGAAATAGTCGAAGACTTACGTAGTCAACTTAATTAGATGTTTACTTACTCGTTGGGTCAGTTCTGTAACCGTCGTCGGTTATAGGAACCAGCGGTGTCGTTACAACGATAGTTGTTCGAATCAGAGTGATTCTTTGCGGTCCGGACACGACCACACTGTATGGTCCAGTGGTCCATGTACCATATGTCGTGGCAACCAAAATATATCTGACATGCGGCTCAAGATAAACTTGAAACCGAAACTGTCTACTGCTAGATTCACTGTCATCGTTGTGTATAAGTAAATTCATCTGTGGATAATCAGGTACAAAACTGCCGTTGTACAAAGAGCCATAGGTATCAATCGTACTGTCACTACCAACGGCATAAGTTCCAGCCATCGATACTGTCAGATCGAATGTATCATAATAGTAGTTTGAATTGAAATCACCTGGACGAGCATATATCGGATTACCATTCGTCCATGATGATGAAACAGTCGTATTAACCAATGGTATCATGACTATTGCGCAAAAAAAAGATTTTAATCTATAAAATAGTTTACTTTCATCTATGATCATCAAATTTTTAAACTAGACCTCCAAGATAAAGTTCAAGTTTTGTGCAATTAAAACATGATCTTTACTGCACAATCCATGAACGTGGCGGGATCAAATAACTTCTACTTAACTAGTCATCGAAATCAATTAATAAACTGCAGAGGTTTCTTCATATATGAATGAAATAGAATATGTAAAGCTTTTGTTTTCGTTAAAATAGTTTTCGTAAACTCGATTGATTATTTTCTACTGAGAAGTTAAGACACTCTATAAAGTGTGATAATTTAGGAAGGTAGCTTTTAGCATTCGTAAGCTGTTGTCCGGTGGATGGCTGAATGAGATTTCTCAAATAGCGACATGACTAAACTTTGTAGTACTTTTGATAACATAAAAATTTTGAAAAAAATAGTTAACTATTACTTGTAAAACAGGTTAATACAAGCTGTGAAATGAGTGATTCGTACTAAAGATTGTGATCTTCAACTATTGATGACTAATTGAATCGATTAGATTTTAGAATTCACTTTAATTATCTATTTTCATGAAATATTTTGACGTGGATACTTCATAACTGAAATCAGATATTGTCTACACGATGCAGTCACCTTACGTTTACAATTCCTCTTTTATACATGTTCAACATTGCCTCCCTGGGCAAGAATACTCGATTTAGGTTACACATTTACTTGTTGTCGTTGTGGTACGTAATGGTAATGTAACTCCAGTGACTGAACAATTGTACAATATTCGCACTTCTTGTATATCGATCGCACTTAAATTGACACGTTGACCAATTGTAACATTGGGTTGAAGTGGTTCGATTGTTGGCCGACCATTTGCAGAAAAGCCATTCGGTGAATAATGCATTAAAGATCCATAATCATAGGGTGTATTTAACATATCTACTACGCTGTTATTATATTTTTGAAAGTTGTGCTCCCTGCCTAAAAGAAGAAAAAAAAAGACAGCGATTGGTGTCATAAAATTGAAATATGAATCTTATGATGAAAATATATTGTATTACCTGTTATTATATTTTCATAATTGACTCTAATATATTCATCCCGATCAGGTCGAGACTGTTCATGAAAGAAACCTATTTAGAAAAAGAATACATTTTAGTCATTTAAAGCAAAGAACTTGGAGTGATTCTCGCTTTTTCGATTTTAAAAGTTTCATTTTTCACTTTTTAAGTATCCAATTATAATTTTTGAAAACGTTGCCGAACTGAATCGAACTCAAAATGACTTGTCAAATGTGAAATCGAACACAACAGAGTCAAATGACGTGATCCATCATAGCCATTGCCAAATCAAATCGTCTTCCATTATATAAACGATCGCTGTAGTTACAAGTATGGCTTTAAGTAAAAGTAACGATCGCAGAATTCAAACGCAAATTGGCTTAGGTTTTCTCGATTTGGTTCAAGTCAAATCAGACGAAACATGAATAAGAAGACGTTTATTTCAAAAAATATGTGGCTCAAAAAATCTGTCACTCTATAGTCTGAAGAATGTTAGTGACGAGTCCTCCAATGATAGTTAAACATTTTTCCTCGGGTAACTTCGCACTACTCATGAATGCTATTGGTTTATTGTTCTTGAAATAATAGACTTTTTCATATTTATATGTTATCTACTACATCTAATGCGAAAAACTAGGATTAGAGTAAGAAACAGCATCATTTTTAGAAAAATTTCAAATTTGGCGATGAGTTGTGGTGACTAATTTATTCAGTCAAGAAAAATTACTTTGACGAACTTTTATGGATTACTACCATGGTCTAATATGACTCCAGGAAGTTAGTCCAATCAGGTATTTACGAAAGTTGATTCACACAAATCAATTCATGAATCATGAAAGTCTAATGAATAAAAGTAGTGTGCTTGAACCTCGTCTCACCGAGTTCACTATATTACTCACAATAAAAAATAGTTTCATTCGTAGAAGTTCTTCGATTGCATGTTTTATATGCTAAAAAGAAAGTTTAGTTTAAGTATCTCCCTCCACCCCTTTCTGTACGACAAAAAAATATTTTTTTCGATATTTTTATCTTCCACTCACATGTATATTTCGAAGTGCGTTCTATTCATCTGAAAAAAAAGAAATTTCCTTTTTTACAACACTTTGACCTCGAAAATAAGAAGTTTCGGTACCATGTATGTGCAAAACTTTCTCAAATGAACTTTGTTTCGCCTTTTTCTCTAAATCAAATTTTTAGCAGAAAAGTACTGCTTCGCCGTGTTTCTTCAACATGGTAGGTGGGATCAAGCTGAGAATTTTTTTCACATATAATAAGCACTATTTGGGATTGGTAGTATTTTTTTTAAACTTTTGCTCTGGTGGTTTTTCGCAGCTGTAACAAAATTTGTTCTAACAAAAAAAACTTTTTAAGCGTAGGTTCCGTATTTTGAGTTTTTTATTGAAATAAAAAAGGCATAAGGATACCGAAAAAACAACCCATTTCAAATAGTGTCTAGTATATGCGGAAAAAACTTTTAGATCCATTCCTCTTACCATGTTGGAGAAACGGGGAAGAAAAGTGTGATCATTTTTCCTCATTGAGGTTTAATATCTCATAGAAGATTGCATGCGAGAAATTTAAATCTGGTTCAACTTTTTGTCCTACTCTTTTACACTTTGAGAGTTTCAAATTTTTCTGATAAGCCATTCTCTAGAAAATCCGGAAAAGAAAGAGGTGGGGCACCCTTAAAATGTCATCTATGTTGCGTAACTATCCCGGTATATATTGATCTATTGAATTGAAAATGCTTAACTACACGTTTAATCTCATGCGAAGTTCTTTTTTGTTTTTGAAAAATATGTACAGTGTAAGATAATAACTCGTCGGAAATACAAACAGATGATTTAATCATCGATTTTTTGCTTTTCTAGCAATGAATCGTAACGAAAGAAACTGAAATAGTCCTTAAATTTTTCTCGAGCATTAGAAAAAAATTTCAGTATAACTGCCACTTTATATCCTCATAATGCTGATTATGGTCCACCACTAAACTTCAATACTCATGTCTCATCATGTTTAGAATTTTACCACTTGCTTCACTTCTATTTCAAAAGTATCAAATTGTGTAGTATTCAAGATCAATTTGGATTGAAAATTTTTGGGGTTTTTCCTTCAGCTGTTACCTGAAGAAATTCCAGAGGGTCTATGGAGGACATCCTCAATCGATCTTTCATTAATATTTTACTTGATTTTCATACGTTTTATTAGATCCTAGATGTATCATGCTAAACTACGATGCAGGATGTGAGAAAAAATCCTAAAAACGTAGAGGAATTGAATATAGAATATTTTCAAAACATTAGCAGCGTTGAATTCACTTCAAACAAAACAGAGACCCATTTGAACTGAACACTGTTAAGGAATTTCTGTTTAAAATTTCTGAATTAACTAAACATATTAAACAAATATTGTAAAAACTTCATTCAAAAAAACAATCTAGTACTAAAATTAAAAGAGCTCAGTGTGATCAATGATGAATTGGACAACTGATCTAAACGCTTTGTGTCGCTTTCGTTTTAGATTACAACTTCCAATGGAGCATGAATTTAAATTTTATACACAATTACCTAATGTATGCAATAGTTCATGCATAATAATACCCTGAACAAAGCATGCTGGATATGATAGTGTCACTGTGCGATCCATACTAACACCAGTATTTTGTCCGACCTAAGATGATACGAAAAGATTTTTTTTTCTGAGTATATATGTATATACGTGTTTTAACTCATATGAATGATCAATATACTTACATAAGATGAACAACCGAATCCGTCGACAATGGTAATATAATATAGATCAGATGGTATTCTTGGCCGAAACAGAATGCATTGTATATTATTGATTGCTATTAAACGTTCGAGTTGTTCCATCGCAGCAATAATAGTTCCTTGTGCTTGCGCGTCTTTTATAATGAAAAGAAGATCGATTCATTTTTGACTAACACATTCATTCACGACTCCGTAAGCAATACGATAATGAGTCTGCGAATATTTCTATTGACAAACAGATACTTACTATATCCTGATGAGATTTCATATGGTACGATTCCATCGGTCCATGGCACTGAACTGCCACGACGTGCTACCCCACGCTTGATTTTGTTGAAAACAGAGAGAGGTGAATCTAATTAAACTTACAAAATTCATGATTTACTTACGTTCCACGGATCCTTTGAGGATGGAAATAGCATATCACCCTCGAACAAGTCGGCTAAAAAGACAAAAATAACCTGTGATGATGTGCTTGGAAAAGTATTTTTTTCAGACAATAAAAATATATATTTCTCATATCAAATACACTAATAACCGAATGGTAAAGTGTCGATTGATTGAATTTTTGAAATAAAGAAATTTCTTTATCTTAGCGGATCAGCTATTTGATAGACATTTCAACGTGTCGACTTCAGCTCCGACTGACCATTGGAATTCTACATCGAGCTTTAGGTTTTTAATTTGGCGATAGATCATGTAACGCGTAATTTCCAACCACTCGAACGATTGTTTCTACGGGGATTCAGCTTTTATTAAAAAAGAACTTAGTCCCGTAGTGGTCTTACGCTTGAGTCATCGAAAACTATCAAATATAGGCAGAAGCGAAGATCAGAATATGTTTAATTGCAATCTAGAGTTTCGTCAAACATCGAAACTAAATATGAACTAGTATTTTGTGGAACTCACATATATTTTCGAAGAAAATATTAGGTTGAGCAAAAAGTTCGCGGTCACTTGCAAACATAAAAAATGTTTGCAAGTGACCGCGAACTTTTTGCTCAACCTAATAGTGGGTGTAAGTTTTAAGTCAAAGTTTTTGCGGCTTCCCCTCCGCATTACAGACACTTAGCAACCAGAGGCTCCCACTACAGACTCTAGCAACCGAAAAAATTAGCCACAGATTTCTTAAATTTTTTTTTCAAAATTGATTATATTATAATTTTTAAAAATAATGAAACACTCTTTGTTCGAAATGGAGAATTTAGAGAGCTCCTTCTTCTGAAGATCTATTGTCCTTCGAAACACTTTAGTCCACAAGAGATTTGTCACTTTACGTATTTTGTATTAGTTCAAGCAGGTTAGAGAACATATGTGAGTCCACATTTCAGCCCCAAAGGAGCTGGGCTAACAAGCTTTTTTCTGAAAGTAACCTTTTCAATTCATAAAAATGATAAGACTTTGAATATTATAAATGCTATTTAAACATTTGCTATTCGTTTTAAAATTACATTAAAAAAAATGTTTTGTGTATAGATAAGCAACGTGTTCAGAGTAAAATGAAAATGGAACGCGTTCCATTTTTTAGAAGAACTCGTAAGATAGATTGTTTCTATGCACAATCGTTTATTATAAATATGGTCTATTAAAACATTTCATGATGCTGAACAGATACACATATGGCATAAAGTTTTTTAAAAACTCTGTTCAACTCAGTAATACTTTCTCTCTTTCAAAATTCGCTATATACAGAACAGAAAGTAGCTTTTCAAAGAATTCGAAAAGAGTATCATTCAACTCCGAGCACATTTTAACATCACACTATAGATGTCAACTTTGCCGCCAGAACTTTTATTGCTGACCTCCCCTTAGGGTTCGTGGAAAAAGGGGAGTAGAGAGGATCAATGTAAAAATAAAAAAAAGAGGAAAAGTAGAAGGCTCTTATTTCAACCCTCAAAATCATAAAAAGACAATCAAAGTGAAGGGAAAATTCCAACACTGTAAAAATGATCCCTTATCAATCTCCGTTTGGTAGTGGCTTCAAATATAGTTATGTTACGCTATATTGTAATTGAATTACGGATGTCAAACAATCTATCGAAGTTCTTTTTATCTCTACTACCATCATTGGAGGTTGCAAAAGTCGATTAAAGTTCAATCAATTACTTTTCATCATCTTTCACA